GACCCCAGAAGATGGTCCTGAAGCAGGAGGGGGCAAGGTCTGAGCTGGAGGAGCCCTGGGCATCCCTCTGTGGCCTGGGAGCCTGCACTGGCCCCTGCCTCAGCTTGGGCTGAACCAGAGCTATTTTTACAAAGTTCAGACTCAGGCTGTCCTGTTATTTGGAAAAGACACCGTCCTCCACATCCTGTGGGCAGGGAGGATGCTCAGGCAAGCGTGGGTTGGGTGGGACAGCCCAGGCCAGCCAAGCTGATGGAGAGGACCCGGGACAGATGGCCCCATTGGTGCTGAAAAGCCCACCGTGCTCAGATCTCCTGCAGGAAGAATGGAAACCACCCCATCCTTTATACCTGCTCAGGGTGAATGAGGCTCTCAGGCCTCCCTGTGAACAGGAGGGCCTTAGGGGGACAGCCACAGGGGTTGCCCAGCTTTGCCCTTAAAACCCAAGTCGGCTGAAGCAGGAGGATGTTGTTGGGCTGACCAAAGAGGGGAGGGGAGCATGGCCAGAAGGAGACTCAGCCCCAAAGCAGAGGCACTGTCTGGTTTCAGTCTGAGCTGGTTCTTCCTCTGTCCCCACTTTCCCCAGACCCCTCCACCCTCATCCTGGTGCTTCCTTGTGATCTTACGAGCCCCAGCCCTGAACAGCCTTTAGCCTTCTCTGCCACCCTTTCTCTCACTCGGCTCCAGAGTGAATATCTGGATGCACTCATCTTACATGAACCTGCCCTGCTCCAAAACCTTCTCTAGCTCCCCACTGCCCCAGAGAAAATCCTGATGCCTTACGCCAGCCTTCAAGCCTTTCACACTCAGACCCTGTCTAGTGTCCAGCCTCCTGCCCTTGCATTCTCCCCACACCAGCCCATGGCTGATGAAACACAAGTCACTAAAGCCAGGCAGTGTCACAGACAACCTTCACTCTCACCCCCCCTTCCCTGTGCTGCATTTATGCTGATTTCTTCAGCTCCATCTTCTAATTCACTTATTTTCTCTTTAACTGGGTCTAGTCTACTTGTTAACTCATATAATTATTAAATTTTTATTTTAATAATGACAATTTTCACTTCTAGAATTTTTGAATTTAGGTCTTTTAAACATCTCTGTTCTTTTTTCATAATGTACTATTCTTATAAATTCTACTTTCCTTTAGAGCTTTGAAAATTAAGCATACCTAATTTTAGAGTCCCTTTAAGACGAATCTATTCTCTGCAGTTTTTCAACCTTTTTTACTTCCTATTTGAGGGGCCAGCTGACTCCCTCTCACAAAAATGAGTTTCCTGTGTGTTCCATTAATTTTTAACTTGAGTTTATCGTCAGTGGGAATTGTCAAGTGTCCCGTGCAGGCTCTGGGTCATAAAGGCTACCCTAAGGAGCAGTTTGGGATTTGCTTCTGCTGGGGTCCCTGGACACATAAAGCCTACACGGGGAAGGGAGTGAAGTCCCAGGCCTATATGGAGCAGGGCCTGGAACTAGGCTCTCTGCATAAAGCCAGAGCAAGGAAGGAAATGTGCACCCACCAAAGGGAACTCCACCAGAAAAACTGCCCAAAAGCCTGGGGACATAGCTTGGAATCAGAGAGCTTGCCTTAGGCTCTGGGTGGAAACTGAATCCCCCATGTGACATGAACCCACATCTGCTCTGCCCAGTCCTCAGACTGAAGAAATTCCAGCCTGGAAACTGGGCCCGAATAGTGATACTTGGATGTATCTGAGTAATGAGTATATGGAAGTCTGTTGTAGTATTTTCTCTACTTTTTATGTATGTTTAAAATTTTTCATGATAAAAATGTTTATATTAAAAATACTATAACAAGCTTCGAAGACATATATCTGGTCTCCAAACACTGCATCTCTTGGCTTCAGTTCCATCTCCCACTTCAGTTTTTGAGTTCAGCTCTTTGCTTCTGGCACCTGGGAATTTCTCCGCCAGCTTTAGCTTTCAAGCTCAGCTACGTAATTTAAACATGGTTTCTTGGCATGTTTTATCTAGCCTGGAGGGAGGAGGAGGGTTTCTCACATCTCCTCAATCACAAACTGACTAGAAGCCCTCTCCCCTGAACTCCAGCTCACCCTTCAAAGCCCCACTCAAATGTCCGCTCCTCGGGGAAGTCTCCACCTGCCACCAGCCAGAGCTCGATACACACTCTGCCATCCACCTGGTCTCCCACAGTTTCCCCATGCCTGGGTGGTGGGTGGATGACACATTTTTTGCTCCCATAGATAGAAGGAATCTATCTGAGGGCAGGGATTGAGTCTGGGCAGAGCCCAGCACAGGGCCTGCCAAGTCGTAGGTCCAGTGGCAGCTGTCCCTTTAGGTGCAGGCCATGGGGGCTCCTGATTTCCCAAAACAGCAAGACCCACGAGTTGTAATTCTGCTGTGGGCTTTCACAGAGGCTGAGCTACAGCTCCTGCAGGCAACTCAGCGCCAGGTCTGACCCCGCAGCAACCTGCCAGGGGGCTGCTGAAAGTGGGCTCTTGCCAAGCCAGTTTTCGTGCTCTGGTCCCAAGGGGAAACAGGAGGGGCAGGCCCAGGCCTAATCCTCAGGCACCCCCCACCCCCACCCCGTCTCCTGGCCCCTGGTGCTCACAAACAAGCAGACAGCCCCACTCTCAGCCCTGGCCCTTTGATCTGGGCAAGCACCAACACCTGGCTGGCGCCCTCCACCTGGCTCCGACCTTATCGGGCTTGGGGAAGAGACAGGTGCCTGGGGCACAGGCAATTAGGTGACTTGCCTAGTTGCTCACCAAGTCATATCCTGGTCTAGCTCGACTGGCTTCTTGGCTCATATAGATGAAGGGGTGAGGACAGGAGTGGGTGGTAGGTAAGGGCTATGGGGTGAGGACTAGCGGCTCTCTGAGAGTGCTGAGAATTCTCACATGGCCCAGGGGCACCCACCCTGAAGATACCAGATGCCAGACACTCGGACCCCCCAAGCCGAGTGGGCAGCATGAGCAGAGGTCTGGGTCCCTATTCCAAACCTGTTACTCTCTCACCATGAGACCTTAAACAAAATGTCTCCCTCTGTGACCTCTGCCTTTTCATCCGGCAGGTGGAGCAGACAAAGGGAGCCTGCAGGATTATTGGAAGAATCTAACGAGATGATGCCCGCGGGTGATTTGTCCACTTCCAGTCAGGTCACCAGGGATACGTAGGGACTGTGCGACTTCACTCTCATGAGCCAAAAAGCCAGCCTGGGACATAACCACAGAAGGAACCAGGGTGCTCCGACCCTCACACCTGCCTTGGGGCCAACACCTTGCACTCACTCCCTGGGAGGCTGTGCTGGCCCTGACCACACTCACTGGGGGCTACATGAAGGAGGCTCGGGGTAGAGCCTCGCTGCAGATAGTCAGCAAGGCCAGACCAGGAGAGCGTGAAGCTTGGGCCAGGTCCCCAGTGACTCAGGGGCCACATGGCCAGGCTTTCTCCTGCCCTCTGCTCACCAGGCTGGCAGCCCATTCCCTCCCATGCTCCCATCTGGCTTGGACTCCATCTTCCTGGCTATAAGTGCTGGTCACTGTGAGTGCAAAGCCCAGGAGGCTGGAGGGACCTGTCTCAGACTGCCGTGCAGGTTGATTCTCTCTGGCCCAGCCAGGGAGGCCCGAGAAAGGGCAGGGGAGGGGTTTGGACTCATGGCCTGGTAGAGGTGATGTCTGCCAGGGCAATGGACCTGGCCTGCATTGGGCCCCCGTAGGGGATACTGGACCACATAACCTTGCCCCATCCTAGCTCAGACAAGTCTCACTTATTAGGACTGAGCCCTGGAGCCATCACATCACCTCAGAGAGAAGATGGCTTTCTCTGAGCCCCAAAGACCCCATATGGGATATAAGGACAGGTGGCCAGGCGGGCTGAGTGGCTGTGGCTGTCTATGAGCTCACAGAGGCATTGTGTGTACTGGAATGCCACCTAGACAGGTCAGGCAGGTTCCTGGACAGAGCCAGCTCACTCCACCCCCTCTCTCCCAGGACAGCCCAGGCAGGGGAAGGGGTTCATGGACTGGAATGCAGACCATCAACCTTCTCCCACACATCTGACTGGGCCCCACAGTCAGATGGACTCCAGGGCCAACGGCCCAGAGATGAGCAGAGACCAGGCCAGGGTCACACAGCAAGGTTGGAGCCATGAGGTCCAGGCCTCCTGCCCCCAGCCCCTGGGATGCAGCACTGGACTGAGTCCCCACCCAGGCATGAGGGGTCCTGCTGAGAGCACAGCCACTGTGGCCACAGCCAGGGGGAAGGCCAGGGAGCCAGAAGCTCAGGTCCCACGGGGCCAGGTGGGGGTTAGGGCAGGGACAAGGGAGACATGGCCTCCAGAGGGAGGGGCTGATAATCTGGGATAACTGCTTAATGGCCTCCCACTCTACCCCAGCCCAGCTTAGGGGCTGGGGCCCTGCTTCTGGCAGCCCATCAAGAAGACAGGGGCCCCCTGGGAATAGGGGGCAAGGCACCTCGGGCCCAAGTCTAGCCCAGAATACAGGTTCTCAGGCTCCTGCCCTGGTTTGGGAATGGTTCTGGGGCTGACCAGGTGGAGTATTCTGCTTTGTCACCTAGGAGGTGATTCCCAGGATTGATAGTAATGGAAGAAATGGGGGGAGGGGCAGGAGATGGAAACAGGTCACCAAGGCTCTTTGGCATTACCTTACTGACTTAAGGAGTCCCCTTCACCGGCCTCAGGATGGAACCCAGATCACCGGGTGGTGAGGCCCCACAACCCAAGAGAAAGAAAAGAAGGGTGGCCTCCGCAGGCTTGGGCCCTCGGCCTGCACTCATAGACTTCCCATAGCCCCTCAGGCAGGTGGTATGCATTTTGTTTTACAAGGAAAGAAGCAGAGGCTTAGAGAATTAGTGGCGCCATTTGTGGGTGGCATCAGTGAGATTCGGATGAATGCCCATGCTCTTTCCAGGAGTCCAGACCGGGAAGAGACCCGGTGGAGAATGACCAACAGGAGGAGGACCCAGATGCCAACACCTGGGCAGGGGACGAAGGTGGGAGGTGGGCCTCACCTGACTGCAGCAAGCCGGCACCTCGGTCCTTGACCCCGAAGTGCTGCTGGATGTCCAGAAGGACGCCTGCAGGGGAAGACAGCATGCTTACTGGCGATGTCTGACACCCAGGTGTCCCGATCACCCCATCCCTGCTAGGTGACCCCCAATCCCAGCCCAGCCCTCTTTCCCACTTTGCAGGGCCCAGCCTGGCCCCATCTACAGAACTCCCATCCTGCTGTGACCTCCACCTTGCCCAGGTTAGCCAGGCTACAGAGCCCCTTGGAGGCCAGACTTCCTTCCTGCCCCCATGGGGTCCTCCCGTGGTCAGCCTGGAGATAGGATCCCAGCCCTCACTCAGCCACTGCAGGGCCTGAAGTGCAGAGACCGGCGAGGCTCCCTGTGGTCACTTGGCCACTGGGAAGCCATGTTTCCTACCCACCAGCCTCGGCCTGTTGTCCATCTGTGGCCCACCCTGGATCAGGCGCTGCAACCTGAGCAACAGACATGGGCCCTGTCCTCAGGGACACCACAAAGCCCACAGCCCAGAGAGCAGTGGGCAGCCACTGAAAGCTGCAGTGAAACTCCTCTGGCTGGGGAGAGGGCAGGGGTGGCCCACCTGCATATGTGTACAAGCACACGCGTGCACACGCTCACACCAGCGTCCTCAGGCTTATAACCAGGACCCCAGCCTTCAGTTGCAGCAGCCAGGATGCAGAGGGAGGCAGGGGAGGCCCCAGGCCTGCTTTCTTGGGGAAGGGGATTCCTTGAGGCCACACCTTCTCCCAAATCCCCTGCTCTCCCATTAGGGCTTTGCATGTCATGGGGGGACACCTAGAAACCACCCATAGCTGCCAACAGACAGATAGAGCCGTAGCTTGCTGGGGGGCAGCATAATCCTAGACCCCTCCCACCTCTTGCAACACAACCCCTAACCCCTCAGGCCTCAGGGCCCCCACTTCGGCTTCTCTGTAGATAGCAGGACCTGGGCCACAGGCCAGAGCCCCCCTGACCACAACACACATGCACTGAGAAGGGACAGGGAGAAAGGAGGAGACAGGGCCCCGCCTTTGGAGCACCCCATGCAGGGGACAGAGGTCCCTGGGAAACTCCCAGAGCTCTTCATGATGATGATGATGATGATGATGATGATGACAGCATTAAAACGCTGATGGCTTGCATTACTGAGCATTAAATGCTTTATTTGTTTAATCCCCATATAGCCCTATGGGACTGGTACTATTATCCTACTTGACAGATGAGGAAATTGAGGCATAGGAGGTTAAGCCATGTGCTCAAAGTCACACTACAGGCAAGTGGGGAAAGTAGAATCTCTAAGAACTGTATGAGGGTCCAGTCTGGCAGCTGGGGCTGGAGGCGCGGAAGGGGTGGGGAGGGTGGAATGTCACCGTCCCTCCTGGGGCGCTGAGTGATTCTGTGGGACGCAGGTCCAGACCCAGCTGGTGTCCCAGCAGCCTGACAGCCCAAAGAAGCCGGCCTCTTCCTTGTTAATGCCCTGAGTGGATTTACCATAATTACCCATAATGAAGAGGCTGTGCAAGGCCCAGTTAATGACTTAATAACCAAGGCGGGCTGTGGCCTTGCCTTGAAGGCGGAATCCAGGGGCTGATCCAGAGCTGTGGATGGCAGGGCCATCAAGTGGGACTTCTGAGGTGCCCGGCCCAGCCTCAGAAGCTCACAGTCCCATCAGGGCCTGCAGGTGGCACAGTTGGGACCATCTCTGGGAGCCGTCCACCTCCCAGCCCCCACCCACTCCCTCTCCTGAGCCCGGATGTGTGATCTGATCGCATCCCTCTCTCGAATAGCCACCATCACCTCTGACTCCCCAGTACCCAGGCCCTTCACCAGCCCACAGGCTGCAGGTTCGACCTGTCAGCCTCACTTCTCAGGACCCCACTCCTGTAACCCATGCTCCAGCCACCCCAAACTACTCATGGCCCCCCGACTCCACATACCTCCTCTTCTAACCTGTACAACTTTGTCAGCAGTGCTAATTCCTACCACTGTTTCGAGACTAGTTCAGATACCTCCTCTTCTGGGAAGTCCTCCCTGACTTCTCCCCTCCCACCACGCTCAGTGAGTTAGCTGCCCCCACTCTTCCCCGGCCATCCTTGTTTTAGCACTGGTCCTGCTAGGATTCGTTAGTTCTCTAGGGAAGACACATAAGGACATGGATTTGAGTTTTTGGACCCACTGCGGCCAAGAGCTAAAAGCCACTAAATATTGGTTCCTGTTAAGTTCCAGGCACTGTGTGAGGCCCTACAGATGGCATTTCTGTCCTTGCCATCTATGCTGGTATTTATGATTAGCACCCCATTCTACATATGAAGAAACTGAGGCTCTAAGACATGAAGTAATTTGTCACACAGTATATTAGGTTTTGGAGGTGAGATTTGAAACCAGGTCTGTTGCAGAGAACCAAAGCTCGTCCTCCTGCCACTCTGCCTCTGCGGGGCTCGCTCTTGCCCCACGGCCCGGGGCCCAGCACCCACCGGCCCACAGGGACTGTTTGTGGGGTGGATGTGAGTGTTGCCTCACCCCCCACTAGACCACAAGCAAGGTGGGGGCCATGGCAAGTCACCTCCAGAACCCAGCACAGGGACTGTCACATTTTGGTGTTGGGTGGACAAAAGGACGGGTAGAGTCAGGCGGAAGTAGGAGGGTCCCCATCCACAGGCCCGAGGAGAGACATGGATCTGCAGTAGCCACAGGTTCACCTTCTAGAAGGGAGGCCGTATCGGCATGGCCATGATGAAGACATCCCGTGTCCACAGCAAATTTGAACACTCTCGCTTCCTCCCTGCAGCACATCCCAGCCATCCAACGGGACACACCCCCACCCAACAACTCAGAGGCCCGGCATCTGCCTCTGCCTACAGGAAGCCTCCCCCGACTTCCTCTACCACATAGGGCTCCTGGTAGGGGGAGGAATATTTCTCCACATTGAGACCGACATCCAAGGTCCCTGGGAACTCCTGGGCAGTCCAGACCCCAGGAAGTTTTGGATGCCCCCTGCCGCCCCACTACCCCCAAGAGCCCAGCCAAAGAGAACCTTCCCAGGGAGCAGGGCCTCCTGCAAGCCATGAGGCCTGAGGTCAGGCCCTGTCTGAGCCTTTCTGGGCTTGTTTCCCCTCTCCTGGTCCTGGAAGGGGCCATGGCCACAGGAGGGTGAGATCCCACTGGCCGCTGGCACAGGAAGCGTGTGTCACAGCAGCTCGGCCGGTTGCCTCAAATTTTCCTCTGGGCTCTAGCCTAGCTTGGCCCACACACCCCCTCCTTTCCTCACCACAGCCTTATTTTTAGCCCCTTTCCTGGAGGCTGAGGTTTGGTGGGTCACAGGACGGGCCTCACGCCCAGGAGCAGCCTCCCACAGCTCAGGCCGAGCCCACCCCACCAGCCCCACCAGCCCTGGGGCATGCAAGGTGGGGCTCCCACCACAGACAGCCCCAGGTGCCTCACAGCCACGGTGCACGCCCTCCTGGCAGCCACCCCAAGTCCACACCCAGAATCGCCCTCGCCCTCACCCCCAAGAAAACATTCTGGAACAGCAGGAACACCTGAATTTTCTCATCCATTGATAACAGTTATGCCCTCCCAAGTCCCCACGGGTCTCACCTCTTGTCCAAGGCCAACCGTCCCCTGCTCTAGGCTAACTGTCTGTCCTGCCTTGCATGGATCTTGCACTGAGTTGGCCCCTGGTTTAAGCTATGCTTTCAGTCCCTCCTGGCTTCTGTCTCCTGAACATCAGAAGTGGTCACACCTCTCATCCTGGTGGTGAGAACCATCCTGCTCTCCTCCCTTCACAGCTAAAGTTTTGGCAAGCGTTCTCTCCCCTCCCCAACTTGGCACATTCACCTTCATCACCCCCCCTTGAAACCAACCACCCCCAGGTGGCTCAACTCCACAGATTCCCTCATCCCTCATGCACCAGCCTGCTGGACTCTGATTCCACGGCTCACCACCTGGTCCCCATTCCCAGAGCGGCTCCTCTGCAGCACCCAGGCCAGACACCAGAGAGTCGGCTGTGATACCCACTACCTCCCTCAGCCCCATGAATGGGCCCCAGCGATTCCTTCTCTTGCTTGCCAGCCAGCCCCCTCCCTGGGCTCCCTGCCTCCAGCCTCTGCCTGCTCACCAGGCATCCCTCCGGCAGCCCAGTCTCACAAGCACTTGCCAATCTCCTGCTAAGTTCTAGGTCCTGGGCTGGGGATCTAGATGCCACAGACAGTTTCTGGACTGAAGGAGCTAATGCTGTTGCCCAGTGGTTGTCAACTCTGACCGGGCCTCAGAATCACCCATGAATTCAGATTCCACTGGCCCAGGCCCTTGGTGCAGTAATACTACCAATAACAGCAACCATAATGCGCCTGTTAACATGCATCGAGTGCTTACTACGGTCAGACACTGCTCTAAGAGTGTCAGCTCACTGAGTATGTTTGCCACCAACTCTTGGTGGCTCCCTACTGCTGCCTGAATAAAGCCCAGACTTCTAGCATTTGAAACCTCCATGATCTGGCCCTAACCCAGCTCTTCTCCCACCCACAGTCTCCTCTTCACACACACACACACACACACAGAGCCCCTCAGCTCCAGGCAAAGGGGAACACCACTAGCTGTGGTCTTTCATCTCCCTGGTCTTCCATTTCTTCCGTGTAAATCAGGAGATCAGTGATCCCCAAATATTCCTGAGAACCCCAATCTCCCTTAGGGAGGGTGCTTGTTAAAACACAGCTTCCTGGGCCCTTCCCCAGATCTGCAGAATCACCTTCTCTAGAAGTGGGGCCCAAGAATCCATCAATGCACTGCCCAGGTGATGGGAAACCACTGGCCTGGGTGCCCTGAGCACCCCGTGACTTGTGCATCACAGCCTGCAGGCCTCCAGGCCTCGACTACAACTGTGCCCTCTTCCTTATGTCCATCTCTCCCTGTTAAGATCTGTCTCACCCTCCAGGGCCCAGATCCAAGGTCACATCAACCAGGGAGTCCCTCTCCCTCCTCTGAGGCCCTAAGTGAAGTCATGCCCGTAACCTCAAGGCACCCCCAGAGCTGGATACAAACTGGCCCTG